TTTCTTTTTTTTTTTTTTTTTGTGGTGCTCATACTTTATTAATTTTCTTTTTTTTAATTAAATTGAATTTATTGGTACATTCTAGGTAGATGGTACAGTTACATTCATTACTGGGATCTTGTACCTTTACATGCCAGGTCTTGATAACACCAGTCTTTTTTATAATGGCCATGTGTACTGGGAGGAGTCATGTCTTATGAATGGTTATGAAGTGTACTTCCGTGATGCTGAACACCATTGTTATGTAGCTCCGGGTCTTCTGTGTAACTTTTTTTGAGAAGTGTCTAGTTAGGTCAAATACATCGTAGGGATATATTCTGGTATTATCCTGTCAGATACTGTTTAGACACAGAAAAGGATGAACTCTCATCCCCAACAACATGGATGGAACTGGGCATCGTCCTGATACGTCCTGACTGTTTTGTGTTGAAGAGAAAAGTTGCTCTCTAGCTGTGTGTGGAATGAGGGCTACCAGATGCTGGGGAGAACAGCGAGGAAGGAGACACGGGGACAGTCTGACCAGTGGATAACGAGACACTGGTACAGTAAAGAAGCTTTGGTGTGGTGTAGCTCAGTAGGGTGACTGGAAGGCAACTTTACACTGTTCCACTCAATAGGACAAAAGGATACTGAATGCTTGGATCATGAGGCTGACATTTAACCCAATATAAACATTACATGCATGCGACAAATAAGACATAGCATCCAAGTGTTACCATTTAAAATATTACACAATATCTACTGTTCCTTCTTTGAGTTCCTTTCCATTTCTTTTCCTTTTCCCGTCTCCTGCTAAAACTTCATTTTCATTGACTTACTGTGTGTTTTAAACATGATCATAAGGCTGGGGATTTAGCTCAGTGGTTTTGCTGCCTGCCTGGCAAGCGCAAAGTCCTGAGTTTGATCCCCGGTACCCAAATAAATAAATAAATAAATAAATTTTAAAAAACACGATCATAAAGGAATACACAAATAATTTCTGATCATGCTGTGAATGCCTTTAATCCATTACCCAAATAAGAGAACAACTTCAGCTGTGACTCATAGTGGTCTTGGGGATTACACAGGGGCTCCTCACACCAGCTCAGCACTCCCTGCTGAAGAGGACCAAGCAGAGAAGGGGTAAGAACACTGACATGGTCTCTCCAATGATCTATATTTCACCATTCACTAGCACAATCTTTTAGGCTTTTATTAGCACAATATTTATTGATTTTCTGCTTATTCAAATTGACTCTGAATTTGCAATGCACATAGGGCAATAAATGGCTGTCCTCTATCATGATGGTCAGCCTCAGCCCAAGATGAAATACACTTGATAAATTTCTTACCTGTTCTGCTTTTGTAGTAGATACTAAGAAATGTGGAACAATTTTAATCCTTAATATATATTTCAGGAATAAACACTTCCTCACCTTCTTCATTTCTGTACATTTACACATGAGTGTATTAACTTTATTGTTTACACCTTTATGCTGATATTTTCACATTATGGCCACAAAAATAAAAGGGGAGTTCCTTGCATATTGGGCTATCAGTCCATGGAGTCGCAGTAAAAATGGGAATGGACAGGAGTCTCATTGTGGTGGACATCGGAGTTCAAGGTGCAGGTGCTCATCATGCCTGACTCACACACTGCTGGCTGACATCACTGGTCTTGGATTGGTTCCCATCCTCTACTGCCAACTAAACTGGTACACTGATTGATAACTAAGAAGAACCCATGAATCACAAAATGTGACAATAATTCCACTAACGTGGCTGATGTCCAGGTACATGCAGCTCAATTAGTCGGGGGCTGAATCTCCTCACTACTGTCCTCATTTTATATAAAGAAAAATAACGGAAATGCTTCTATTACTTCTATATTAGAACTAGCACGTTTGGGCTTCTCTAAGAGTATTTTAATAGTTCTGATAATGTAGTAAATGTCTTTCAGAAAAGCAACAGAGACAAAAGCATTTCCTTTACTCACCATGGTCCAAGGCATAATCCAGAGAACAACCATAGGCTAGTAGTGACCAGGTGGGATGTGGGAGCCTCTGGGGAGCACCATTCTGAGGAGCACAGAGCAGAGCAAGGACACAAAAGAACACTTTTCTCACTGACTTTTGCTTATCACCTTTCTTTCAGTGGTTCCTTGGGGCACCCACTGTTTCCAGTGTTTTCATTTCACGTGTATGCTGGGGATGTGATGCCCAGACAGGGTGAGCCCTCAGACGTGCCTTCCTTAACTTTGGAACTCAACGTTTTCAATATATTAATGGTGTTCTTGCCACATTACATAATTTTTGTTTGGTCAATGCTTCACCTTTTTCTCTTTCCTGATTTCTATAGTCATTGTTTGACTTGCTCACTGGTCTAATTATAGAACGAAACATCTGCTTACAGAATGGTACATGAACATGAAGACCAGGGGTCTGTGGGGAAAGACCTTATAGCTCCAGACACACTGCACTGACTGACTGGATCACCACCAGTGGTCACCATTGAGCAAGGACTGCCACTTTCTCTCCTTTCCTTTCTGCCTTGTCTGTTTATTTTATCATTAATCCACTAATAACAATTCAAAACACTACCCTTCAGAAAACTTGCAGCCATCCTACATCAATGTGTTATCCACAACTATTATCAATATATGGCTTTCATTAATTATCCACAGTTTTCTACATATGTGTTCCAAGTAGAAAGCTTCACGTTATTCCCAAATTACACTGGTTATAGTATGTCTTATATGGCCACATTTCAGATTTTTCAAAATAGAGGAAGCCTCCCTTACACATAACACCGGAATCAAGATGAGTACTCTGGTACGCAAGTCAACATCCAGCCTCTGAATACAGACGGAATCATGGATCGACTGGCCATGGAGAGTTCTTACATCAGCTTGCACAGGTGCAGTAACAGGAGCACAGAATGAAACAGGTGACAAAAGTAAAGAAAGTTGCAAACCAAGACACTGGTTCCATTACCAGTTGACTTTCTCCTTTTATGTAGAAAGTCATTTATGCAATCACTAGCATAACAGTAGAAATGTTAACATAACAATATAAATTAACCCTGACTCACAACAGTCACAGACCCAGAATATTAACATTGTCTGAAACTTATATTGCCTATATCATCCCTGGGCAAAGGGAATAAACATGAAACATTTTACAACTTGGGCTTCAGTGTTTTTTTTAATGCAGTGGCTATGTTCCTTGAATCACTATAATTGAGCACTTTTGACTGGTTGTCTCATTGATCTAACATAGTACTATAATCTAAATATAAGAAGACAACAGGGAAGACCAAGACTCTTGTACACCCCTGACACAGAGGATGACTTCTTCCAAAAACTAGACTGCATTTTCCTCAGGTTGGACATTAACGTCAGCTCGAATCAAGAGCATAAGTCCATGTTTTGGTCTCCTAATTTTGGTTTTGATTCTGCATTTTTGACAATTAATTAATTAATTAGAATAAAAGAGAAGCATGACTCACCAAAAACTAAAGAAGATGATGCTTGACAAATCTAATCTCTTCCTATTGGCTTCTTTTCCACACTAGACTATGGGTCTTTCATTAATCAACCTCTATCTGGCTCACGATCCTGGTAAAAATGACATTCTCTATCACATTTATTATTAGGCCATGGATAATCCTGATTAATTTATAAATGTCAACAATACTGTGATTGCCTTTAGTTGAATACCCAAGTGAGGAAAAGCACTGCCTCTTACCCAAGTGGTCTCTCCCCAGCCACAAGGGTGTCCAGCACTGTCGTGATCCTGGCAGAATTCACACAGCCATTCTGAAGTGTACAAGTCAGAAAAGACCATAAAAACCCTAAGACATGATTGCCACTGATCCATATATTCAACCAACTATCCACACCCTCGTTTTGGCTCTTATTAGTTTATGATAATATTGATTTTTTCTCGGTAAGGTAAATGCCAAACTTGCGGTAGAGCAAGAGCAAGAACTGATTATTGCCTACACTTGATTGTGTCTGGCATCCCCAGTAGAAGGCAAAGTACACTGGGCCAATTCGTTATTTGTTATTTCAATTTATTATTTATCAGTCTGTATGGAAATGTATTTTCCTCTCTATATAAACAGTTCTTCACTCCATGAGGAGAATGGTGAAACACAAAGGTCATCTATATCCTGACCTTCAAACATACTATCCCCTCAGGGAGGGGATACTGAACAGTGCTGGACCTCAGAGGTCCAGACATATGGTGCTCATCGTACAGAACTCACCATCAGTCATCATCATCGGTCCACATTGGCTCTGTTTCACCTTATACTAACACAGATTGGTCTATTCAGCAATCCATTAATACAAGGATAGCACCATGAGGATCCACACTATCCACTGAGGATACATTGTAGCACAGACTACATTCATCTTTTTTTACCCGCCTCACTGTGGTATTCATACAACAATCACTCAGCTGATATTAAAAATGGCAAGTGTGGAGATCTTAGATTATTGACATGTTTTCTAAATACACTGGATACTAGTTGTAGAAAATTAACTCCAATAAAGAAAACAACATTGCCTGTATTACTCACTGTGGTTCAAGGTATCGTCCAGAGAGGCAGGCAACCGACTTGCACAGAACACATAAGTCATCTAGAGAGCATCCATTCTGAGGAGTACAGAACACGACAGACTATGAAACACAAATCGGCCCTCCACTGACCTTGGCTTACCATCTTCCAGGTAGGCACTTCTTTAGGCAATCACTATGTGGAATATATTCATTTCATTTTCTTTGACATGATCCACTACAGCCTGGCCTCATAATGAGGGTCTACCTGCATACTGAGTACACAACTCTTAGCCAAAAGCTAATAGTCACGGAAAATTTGTTTCAGAGTGTTCCATAGATCCAGTATTACTTGCTTCATTGTGTATTTGTGTATTTTACAACTCGACAATGCTTTAACTACTTTTTCTTGATTGATTTCTATAACTCTTGATGAATTTATTCATTGATCAAATGGGACTAAGAGTATGAAACACAGGACACTGAGACCAGGTCTCTTTTGGGCTGGACCTTAGAGGTTCAGATACACACGTCATCCTCGTCTCTAACGCCATCGACCCCGGACTGTCCTTCTAATTCTCCTTTTCTTTCCCCTTCTCTGTTATTTCACTGATAATTATTGAAAATCCTTTTACTGAGGAGGTGACCAGAAACGGTCTTCACATTCAGCAATCTGTATGAAGCATCATCGCTCATCAGTGTGTCTTCTAAGACCTATCCTGAGATTTCAGACCTGGCATTCAATGTATCATTGGCTCTGGTGATAACACCCTCAGGTGATGATACTCACACTTTAACAGTGTGCCAGGACCCTTACACGATCCCACTAAGCGCATGACAGAAAACTCACACTACTCACCTTTGTCCCTGGTTTGAACACGGTGAGGAAACTGTCTGCTGCTGACCCTGGAGGAATGAGAAGCTCTCCGGAGCGGCCATTCTGAGGGGTACAGAGCAGAGCAGGGGATAAAAACGGCACTTTCCTCCACAGACCCTCAGTCCCCTGGGTATCTTTCATCCTGGACCTCAGAATTGCAGGCACATTTTTGTTCATCAGATGAGACTCATGCACCGATAGAGATCATCACTTGTCCAGGAAAGGCCCATTTGTCTTCATTCTTATCTACATTTTGTATTGACGAATCCACCGAATCAGTAATATTTTTTAAAGCTTAAGATTCAGATACACTCAAGAATAGAGCTGGCTCTGGTGCGTATCCGGGATGATATTCTCAATCTCATTAATTCTGTGTGTCTTCTCATGACATGCATTAGTCACTAAACTCATCTGGTTCCCAAATTGACACTGGACACAGGAGTCTGACTGTGAACATATTTTGCTCTTTTTGAAAACAGGATGCTTCCTGAAAACCACCCAAAACCAATCTGAGAATTATGAGTGGTGCTCACATTGATTCTGGGCTCCGAACAGAGATGCAGCACTGAGCGCCTGGCCTTGAAGAGCTCTTCATCAGCTCAAAGAAGTGGAGCAGTAGGACTGTGGAGTAGGACAGAGGATTAAGAAAAGGAAGAGAAAAAACTGAGACATTTGTTCCATGAAGCCTCAGTTTCCATAATTCATCTGAAAGTAAATATTGTTTTCTCTAAGGCATAAACATGTTCGCCATTATCACATACCAAGGACGTGACCATTAGCCAAGAAAAAACGCTATGTCCTCTTTAGCCAGAGAAAAACAATCAAGGAACATGACTGCAAAGTGGACTTTAGTAATAGCATTCCTTGATTCTTTATCCATCTTTATAATTAAATAATACTTTATTAATAATTGTTTGATGTTTTCATCAATTTAATTATAATAACAGAAGCAAAGCATATAGACACAAATGTGAAAATCATGATCCTTGAGTAGTTCTAAGTGTCCAGAGGAACTTCTACCAAGAAAATGGTGTACATCAATTTTTACTTTTTAGGGTTTTTTTATTTTTTGAGAGGGGGTCTTGTTAAATTGTTCCTCTAGGCTGGTCTTGAACTCACTATGTAGTGTAAGCTGGCTGGAATTCTATATCCTCCTGACTCAAGCCTCCTAAGTCTGTGCACCTGCCGTGCAACATTACTTCTGTGATACAGACATGGAAGGACACATATGACACCAACCATCATCATTAGGACATTTTTTGCCGAAGTTCAAAAATTTCTACATTTCTTTGACTAAGCTATTAATTTATAACAATAAAATAACAAGATGATTCACAATAGCCTAACAAATCAAACTTCAGTCTAGAGAACTCTATTCTACAAGGCTATGTCTTTCATTAATCAGCCTCTACATAGCTTGTGATCAATTAACAATCATAATGTTCTCCACAATACTTATCATTAAGCATTAGCAACCTTCATTCATGTAATTTATATGGCCGATTAGTATTCCACTGAATGTAACAACTTCATTTTCTTTATCCATTCATCAGCCACCACATACTAAATCCAAACATGTCTTTCTTTATCTTTCCTTGTTGTGGTCACTTATTCTTTCTAAATAATATAACAAGTAACAAATGACAAGCCGGGCCTGGTGGTGCAAGCCTGTAATCCCAGCACTCGGGAGGCTGAGGCAGGAGGATCGCTGTGAGTTCAAGACCAGCCTGAGCTACATAGTGAGTTCCAGGTCAGTCTCACTACATAGTGAGACCCTGTCTCAAAAAACCAAAACAAAACAAAAAACAAATGACAGACACCATGATAAGATCTGTACTACTCATCTTGGTCCTGAGGTTCAGTGCAGAGATGTGATCTGGACTGGAAAAAGCCAAAGTGCCCTGGGCAACGAGCATTCTGGGGAGTCTAGAGCAGAGGGTTAAAAGTGACACATCTCCCCTGGGATGACTGCTCGTCCACCATCTTTCTCAGTGGACCTCGGACAGGCAGACACATGTTATTCACCGTGCCCTCAAGGCTCATATGCTGGCAGAGAGCATCACTGGTCCAGAAAAGGTCAATTCCATTCCCCCCTAACTTTCTTTTGATTCGCTGTTTATTCCAACCAACATTATTTTCCAATGCTTTCTTTTTGGCTATAAGTTGTCCAAATATATAGGGTACAGCATAAAACTTCTATATGTTTTTACAGTGTGATGGTCAATTCAGTCACTGACAAATGTTTCATCTGAAGCATGTTTACATTTTTTATTCATATATGATAATTGCACATATTTCTGTGTGTGATGTGTTCTTTCAATATGTGCACATACTACATTCTGTTCAAATCAGAGTAATTAATGTGTTTCCATCCACTTATCCTTACTTTTCATTTGGAACCTTAGAGTTCATCTCTGACTGTTATTTATAAGATATATAATGGGTGTTGCAAACTATAGCCACAATTGTCTATGAATTATTAATAATGCCTGCAAAAGCTCATTGTTCTCAAATCCAACACGAGCATGACTAGCTATCATATGTGTCCAAAGTGCTGCTCGTGTCAATATATAGCTTTTGTTATAGCTTAGGGTTTTACAAATATATTAGTCTAAAGATTCATCTTATTCCCAAATTTGCACTGATTATACTAGGTCTAATATGATCCTGTTTTTCTGTGTATTAAAGGTAAAGTGAATTGTCCTAAACAAACATCCTAATCAAGACAAGAATTATGAGTGGTACTCACGCTGATCTCTCGGTTCCTCTACTGGCTAAGACGGGCGCACTGAGAGAAGCACGGCACAGAACAGAGGATAAAAATAACGAATTAAAACTGAGACATTCAGAGCCTGAACACTGTCTGAAATCTCACCCCCCTGTAACCCTCCTAGCTAAAGAGAGACCAGGGAACGCCAGGGAACAGCGTTGTGAACTGGACTTCAATGCTTTTCTAATATAGAAAAGACATGACACGGATCAGTTTACATTTTTATAATTAAACAATACTTTACTGATTAATGCTTTCATTCCTGTAATTATGATGAAAAAAAGCGAAATATAGAAATACAAAGATTCCTGGGTATTCCTAAACTGGTCTAGATGTCCTTGTAACCAGTGGCCCAGATTAGTTGGGCCATCTCTGCAGAGACACGTGTGCCATGGCTCAAATGACATTAGCCTCCATCACTGGGCCATGTTTTGTCCTGGTTTTCATTCATCTCTACATTTATTTTGAGCAAGTTATTAATTAAGGTACAGCTATGAAATAACAATGATTCAAAACAGACTCAGAGTCTCTTAGTACACAGAGTCCTTTAATACACCCTACTGCGTGCCTGTCATTAGGCAGCCTTGTGGCTCATGACTGATTAACAACCCTAATGTTTCACCGATAGGCATTATGAACTTTAATGTAATTTACTCTTTCTGTCTGAATAGTATTCCACTGGCCCTGTCTCCTGCATTTTCCTCTTTCACCCATCAGTTGACCCTGAATCTGGGAGCAAGAGAATGTGCTGTGATTGCCACAGCCATGCAGATGTCCGGTAGGGTTACTGCTGCAAGACCTCTGGATCTGGACCTGGCAGTGCGATGGGTGGAGCAGCTCTGTGTTAACTCTGGAGGCGTCTCCACACGGCGGCTGCACTAACGCACCTTCCCACCGACAGTGTGCAAGGGTCACCTTTCTGCACATGCTCCTCAGAGACTGTCCGCTGTTGTCTTCTTGGTAACAGCCATCCTCATCGGAATAAGGCAATCTCCCATGGTGGTTTCCCTGGTGATTAATAACATGGAACATGTTTTTCATATACCCATTGGGCATTCGGGTATCTTCTTTTGAGAACTGTCTGTTTAGATCTGCTGCCAATATTTTTATTCTAATTATTATTATTTTTATTTTGCTACTTATTCCTTTGAATTCCTAATTTATTATGGTCAGGCATTGTAGCTATTATGCATCTTTGAAATTTTTTAGGCATAAAAAGAGAATGAAATCTTGCAATTTACAAAAACATGGATAAAACTGGACACAATTATGTTAAGTGAAATAAACCAGGAAGAGGAAAAAAAGGCACAGCGTGATTTCACATACACGTGAAATATAAAAGCTGATCTCCTGGAAGGTGATGGGAAATTGGGAGTTACTGGTGCAAGGCACAGTAGGGTGGCGGGAAAGATGGGGACAGGTTAACCAAGGGTAACCTGAGACAGCTCGAATTCAGAAACTCCATGTTCTGTATACCTCAAAAACCAAATGAAAGAAATACTAGATGTTTGACTCACAAAGAAATGCTAGCTGATGGGGAAACTGACATTCATCCCAATTAACCCTACATGATATATGCATGTATTAAAGCATGGCAGATATCCTTATATGGGTTCTTTTGATGCTTTCATGTATCAGATGAAATAAAACAAATAAAGAAAATATCTAGTGATTTAGTTCCAAGCTCTTCTTTTGTGTGCCTCCAATTTGCTGCTAAAACCATCGATGTTTCATTTTTAGTGTATTGTTTAAAATATGGAAAAAAAGACCGTGATTATCTTTCATCGGTTACCAAAGGAAGACACTTCCTGCAGTGACTCCTGGGGGTCCCTGTCCTCACACAATGGCCTCCCACGACGTCTGGATCCAAGGGGCTTCTTACTTCAGCTCAGCACCTCCTGCCAAAGAGGACCGAGCAAAGCAGGAGTCAAAGCCTGAGTCAGTCCCTCAAATGATCCATACACTTTACCATTCATTAGCACTGTCTTTTAGGTTTTTGTCAATTACTATAATATTTACTCATTTTCCTCTAGTAAAAATATTTCAAACTAGCAACTGGTATAGAGCAATAATTGCCTATTACCTATTAGTTTGTGGCCTCCTTCGTGCAAGATCTCATACACTTGAGAAGTTTCCTACCTATCCAAGCTCTAATACATACTAAAAACATCTAACACAGGGCCAGGGATGTAGCTCAGTGGTGCTGTACCTGCCTTGAAAACGTAAGGTCCCAAGATCAATGCCCAGTACCAAAAAAGAAAAAAAAAATCTAAAACTTGTTAACCTTACTGTTTTATTAATACATACTCTTTGCCATCTTCACCTCTGTATATTTATATAGTTTTCATCCTCTCCTTTATTCTTTTACATTAATATATTCAAATTTATATTTAAATTCATAATGCCTATAAATTCCCAAGGCCCAGCTATAGAGGTAGCAAGTTAATATGTAGCAGTCACCATAGCGTCTCTGCTACTCTGATGCTGTGTACATCTTCAACGTTGTTTAACAACGTAGTAAATACTTCTCAGAAAAGCAACTATAGCATAGGCGAGACTGGCATCTGCTCACCGTTGTCCAAGGCATCACCCAGGTACAGGAGCAACGGGCGGCCGAGCAGGGTGTCCTGGGCCCCGGGGAGCATCCACCCTGAGGAGCACAGAGCAGAGCAGAGGACACAAAATGACACTTTCCTCCCTGACCTGGCCTTGTTATCTCTCGTCATCTTTCATTTCAGGGAGCTTTTTCTTTCATTGGCCTTTGCAGTGGACACGTGACCTTTCCACGGAGTGCACGGTTCTTAGCCAAGGGCCCCATCCATGCACTCCGTAACAGAATTTCTTGCACCATTGTGTTTTCAGAAATGCACGATCTTTCGCCCATTCGATAGTCACTGATCTCTCTGTTTATGGGTTCACTGGTTTTAGGAATTCATTTATGAGAAAAGCATGAAACAGGTGAACATCGAGCAAGGCCAGGTCTCCCGGGCTGGATCTCAGAGTTCCAGGACAGGTATTCATCGCCTCTGACTCATACCCCACAGGTGGTCATCATTAACCCAGCGCCGGTCCGCTCTGAACCTCCCGTCCACCTTGCACGGTGGCTTCAGCATTCACGTACTAAGGAGCATTGACAGCCTGGCACTGTTAAAGCCCCAGAGAGGCTCCGATGCTCCTCGTTTATGTCAAATTTTCATACCCTGATTTTATCAATTCCGCTCCTGGTGTTGCCACACTTGGCCCAGGGTGACCATACTCCACATCATAACACTGCAGTAAATAAGCTTAAACAAATTCCCGAAGCCACAAAAGCTCTCACCACTACTCACATCCATCCCAGGCTCTGCCGCACAGATGTCTCGTGGCCAGCAACCCTGGATGAACGCGTCCACGTCCTGGGGGGCATCGTTCTGAGGAGCACAAGCAGAGCAGAAGATGAAATGGGACTGCCCGCTGTGTGGACTAGGAGATACCCCTGAACGCGGCAGGATTGTCACTGGTCCAGGGAAGGCCCGCTATCCCTTCGTTGTGTCTACATTGCTTATTAACTATCCATTAAATCATTCATAATATTTCTAAAAGCCTGTGGTTCATGGGCACCCAGTCAGATCAGAGCCGTCACGTGTCACAGCAATACACAGCTTGCACTAATGAGCCTCCGCTCTCCATACCTGTGTCACTCAGTGTAAAGATTCATCTTCCTGCCAACTTCACACTGACGACAAGGGGCCTCGCATCATTAACTCATCAAGTAAATCTCTCACATAACATAATTCTACATCCTGCCACAGTCCATTGGACTGCTTTGAAACAAGGGAACTGGCTAGGATCCTGGCCGTGCGGGACCTTAGTTCCAGACACGTGGCGCTCATCCAGTACACCCACACTCCTCAATCATCGTCAGTGCTGATTGGCTGTCTTTTCTATTATCAACTACGTTAATGGTTCACCAAAACTGAAGTCCAGCAGAATCTAAAGATGCGAAGGCATGTTAAACACTGCTAAAATCTCTCTCCACGATCGTTTCCACAGAGCCCCGAATTCTTTCATACCATGCTCTGCATTTCACACTTGGGCCTTACTGTAAAGTTTAATATCAATCAGATACTGCGCACTGGTGCTTTCCCCTTTTTTGGTTAAATTTAATATGTCTGAAAAATACAGCAAATGCCTTCCAGAAGACAGCGAGAACATGATATTATTATTCACACTGGCTTTCATGTCCCTCACACAAAGATGTAACCGAGAACTCCAGATCACAGAGGAATGTGTAAATTGGCTCCAAAGTAAAAAACAAATTGGATCATTAAAAAATGATATATTTCTCCTTGGTTTTTGCTTAACATCTTTTTTGTTGTTGTTGTTGTTAATTTAACAATTCATTGTTTGGAGCATATTTCATTGGGGGGGTTAAGAAAACAAACTACTTATAAGTTTCCTTGACATAGATGTTGAACATTATCTATTAATTATACTGTCTGTGTCGTCCTAAATCAAGTATTTTACAATAATTGAACACTTATTTCCATTGAGTTGTCAACATTTTCACCACATATTATCTTGTCTCACTACTTATTTTAGAATTAGGTAATTCTTTCTATAAAAATGTTATTCTATCAATCCGAATATAAAGAGGATAAAAACGAATGAACTTACAGATAAAAAACCATTTTTATGCCATGGGCACCTGTCTACTATGATCAGCTCAAAGCAGAGAACAGAGGAGACTTCATTTGTAAAATCTCTGAGCATTCTAGACACGGAGTCATCATCTGTGAAGCATGTGCCACAGGAAAGTCATTATGGATCCAGCACTAGTCTTTTTTTTCCCAATGATTCCTGTTATGTCTAGTGATTGATCGAACTCAGGACCTTATGCTTGTGAGGCAGGCAGTGGCACCACTGATCTAAATCCCTGGCTCAAAGATCATTGTTTCATTGTTTCTCTTGTTTTTGTTTGTTCATTTTTGTTTTGTTTTGTTTTTTTGAGACAGGCTTTCAGTATCTAGTTCATACTGGACCCAAACTCACACAATCCTCCTGCTTCAGCCTCCTCAGTGCTAGGAATGTAAGTATGCACCACCATGTCCAGCTTGTTATTTCTAATTTCTATATAACATCACTCCAACATTGATATATCTGTTTCATTAATTACTGTTTACATATGCATTACCAATACGTCACTATTAAGCAGGGATGGTGATATACAACTGTAACCTCAGAATTCTGGGAAGCTGAGGCAGGAAGATTCAGAGTTGGGGCCCAGCCTGTATAACTTAGTCACACAGACTAATAATTAATAATAATAATAATAATAATAATAATAATAATAAATGCTGGAAATGTATTTGCGCTAAGGCCCCAGGTTCAATGTCTAGTACCTCACACACATAAAAAAGACTTCATATTCCTCTCCTATTGACCAGTGGGTTACAGGTATCCACCTCTGGTTGTATCCAATATCTTTTAATAATAGATTCTTATAATAAATATTCTTAAGCAAACCACACAATTAGGACAGAAACACTGCCACTCACACTAAGGCACCACTCCTTCACAGCAGGGGCAGGCAGGGCCGACGAGTGAGGAGGGGTCCTCAGGACCTGCAGTCTGCACGTCATGGCCATTCTGAGGGGCAGGGCAGAGAAGAGAACAATGATATTCAAGGCCATCTCGCTACGGAACTTTGCCTGCCCTTACTTAGCCCTTCTGGCAATCTTTTGTCAGTAGAATTATTTCATTTCTGTCCAAGACCTTAAACGTATTTATGTTTAATTTACACTACAACATGATGAGCCAAGGAGATGAGAAACATATACTACTTATTTCTCTTTGGATGGCACTGCTTTTCATAGACATATTAATAGATTTCTTGGGGCCAGGGATTTGGCTCAGGGGTTCTGCCACCTGCCTCGCAAGTGCAAGGGCCCAAGTTCAATCCCTGGTACCAAAAAAAAAAAAAAAAAAAAAA